AGATCTAAGGCGATCAGAGGGAAAAATTTGTCCGCACAGCCGGCCCTCACCAAGATAGTGCAACGCACTTGGTCCAAAAAAGTTCGAGCCGTACCTCATGCAATGGAGCTTGATCTCTCTCCCCTTGCACTTGTGTAGCACAGACATCGCCCCTTCTAATAGCAAGTTGCCTTCCGTAATCGATCGTTATGCGGACGAGAAAACCTCCATAACCCAAGTTCAAGTCGAGGTTGAGATGGTGTCCAACTTTGCGTCGTGTCTCCCTGCATAGTGAAGCGATGGCATCCATGAGGTGCTCAAACAGTGGCAAGGACCCCGCAGTTAACATTGCTGTACAATTTTGATCTTACACTCCTCTCTATAAAAAGAAAGCCTAGTTTGAAAAAATGTGACAGAACTTTCCCGCCAACCTAATACTTGTTGCTTTGAGAGGTAGGGGCCGTATTCTACAGAACCTATCCCAGCGACAAGGTGTGTCTTAACCAGAATTTATGAATACCTAGCTTTCTATTACACATTGAAATATTACTCATTTAGAGCTTTACTTTCACTTACGCTTGGCCGGGTAGATTACGAACTCAAACGTGAATATGTGCCGCTATTTACTAGGTGAGTTCAGATTACTGATCTGAAGGCCTCAGTTTTTTACTTTTCTTGTATGGGATTTAATAATTTCTTATGCACTAAGGATTGTCTTAGGATATTATTAATTGCTGATTACACACCATCTGTTGACTTGGATGTCAGTGTTGCGTGTTACACCCAACGTGCTAAACGTAGAAGAAAATTAGATTGTCTGGATGTGAGTTTCTCCTTATAGCCCTTACTCAAGGACCATCTGTACTCACCTTCGTGGATTCCTGGCCCTTGACATGCGCGAGGTGAATGGTCCGCAGCTGTAGCAGCGCCCTTCCTGGTCAAAAGTGCATGGGAACTGTAATGTAGTGATGCTTGAGTGCCGTGCCCAGACCCCACCCGCGTTACCGCGCGCCGTCACACGCCTGACCGTAGCCAAACGCGCTACTTGTCTCGGCCTCTCATTACTGGTTGTTCTCTGCCGCTAAGTGCGTGTTTCGCATACGGGATTTTCGTATCGACGCAATTGCTGCACATTGGCGATAATGTGGGCAGAGTGTGAAGATGGTGCCCGGCATCACTGCCCTCTAGCACTGCTTCCGTATGAGTGCAGTAGTGATACACCGCTGCTGCAGCTGCGGACCCATCACTTCACGCATTTGAGATACTGTTCTCGTAGGTGAGGACGGTAGGGACGGTACGGTTTGTCTCTACGTTCTGCAAATACTTTTATAACGAATACAATTGTACTAGATGGTCTTTGATTGGAACCTCGCCGAAGGAGTCGACTTCAATGATCGTCCCCATTATCTTGTTTCCTGCCTCTCTGTTGCACTCGAAATGCTATCTAGATGGCGTCATCGAATTGATTCTGACAGGCTGACGACCATTGGCCTCCAAAGTCTGGTTTCTGAGGGACCATATCAAGTTGTAAGGCTCCTGATCCACTTATGATTAATCTTCAGTACTGCGAAACAAACTCTTGTATCGTTTATGGTTTACAGCGATTATCAAAAAACCGTATACTGCCGAGTACTCGACGTGTTGCTCCAATACGGTGCCTTTGATGGACTGTGCAGTCAGAGTAAAGAGGTATGAAAGTCCTAACAGTATGGTTCGTAGTGGACGCTGGGGCGTGCCGGCTGGGCTCGGACACAGCCCGTTTGCACCACTTCTGGTCACCTGCCGGCTTTCACAATTGGTGGAAAAGCGGGCTGGCGCTGCGCTATACCCAGCCAGCTGACACGCCCCAGCGTCCACAACGAGCAAGGCTGTCTACATGACGGAATTTAGGTATTCTTTGCTATGTTTTGTCCAATTAATACTTATAGACTGTCAAAACCTTGTGGAAGTTCGCGCTTTCGATGGTCCATGTGCAAGGGGTCTTCGAGTCAGCATCATCGCTTTTGCTTTCACTGATTAATAAATATCGATCGGTAAGCCCACTTTACTGTTTCCACAGCAGTCTCTAGTTTGGTAATTATTCGTCTAAGCGGACAAGCCGGCTGTTAGTTTTACTGACCAATAATTTACTCCAGGAACTTGGCGACGATGAAGATCTTACGGATGCCATAAGTGACATCCTGTCGCGAAGTACCGTAACTCACGGGGAAGTTATCTACAAGCTTGTGACGTTTCTTCTCACCGAATTTGAATTCGATGAAATGAAGCACTTCTCTGGTGTCATCGATAAAAAGAAGGGACTTGAAGAATGGAGGTCTCTTTTTGTTATTTTATTTTTTATGGTGTAGTACATTCATAAGGTCCTTTAGGTTTCGCTGTCAAATGGCCGAATGGCTCATATGTCATCTTGAACCGGAGGGTAATATTGGAGAGCTGTTGTTTTTGTTGTGCTCTCTTCATCCGGCTCCCGTGTGCAAACCGTCGTCGCACTTGAGAAATTGTGAGTTATTTTGGCCGCACGGGAGGGGGGGGGGGGAGGGAATCGCTAATCTGCTATTTCTCTTAAATTACTCGCCTGATCTTGGTGGGACTTCAACAAGTGTAAACGAAGCTCCCGCTATTGCATAGCTACAGTGATTCACAGGTCTCCACTGAGGGCAGTGGTAGTGATCGATGGGGCCAGCAAAATGCCCCCATCAAGCCGAACTAAGCTGCATTTTCTTCAGTTTCAATTTGCAGAGCAGAACTCCTTTCTAGCAGCAACAAACTTATGAGATTTTTTCACTACTCATAGAGTTTTATTCGCTGGGATGCTGGGGCGCATCAGGGGGCTGGGTATGGCGCGACGACAGCCCGTTTTCCACCAACTGTACTCGCTTTTCAGCTTCCACGATTGGTAGAGAGCGGATTGGCGTCGCGCCAGGTTGAGCCCCGTGATACGCTTCAGTATCCGCAGCGAACAAGACTGTTCACCTTTTTGTTCTCATGCACCTATTAAACTTTCGAATTTTGCAGCAGCGAAAGGAATTGAACATGATTTGGAGTTGTTTGGCCTTGTGGAACCACAGAATTCTCTAAAAAATTCGGCTCCGTCGATTCCGGTTATAATTGTCGACGAATTGGTGGAATATGTAGTTACCCTATTCTCACAATGCTGGTCTTGTTCTGGTAAGAATCATCTCTTGGAAGTCTATTAGCAGATTCAGGCCCATCTCTTCTTTTACAGACATCAGTGATGAAATGCGAATTGCTCTCTGGTGCTCATTTGCTGGTTTTCTGTCGAAGCTTGAAGCCAAATCTAATGCTGAAGCGACTGGCCTGCTCGACGTGGGTGATTTGTACATACTGGAGATGAGAAGCTATTTTTCCGAACTTTTGACATGAGATTCTTGGAATTTTTAGCCTTT